CATATGGCCTCCCAAGCTAGCCCAGTGCAAAGGCAAACTGCATTCCAGACATGCTCTGAAAGGATGCCGAGGGCTGCAGTACCAGCTACAGAATCCAGTTCCCTCCATTTCTCATGACACCGCATCAGTTTCCCTGATCCGGGGAGTAAATCTGCCCTGCTCAACCTGCCAGGAGCCCTGCTTGAGCAGTCCCTCTCAGAGATCTATTTTGTCATCAGTTGTGATTCTGGAGAGGATCTGTGCTCTCCACCACAACACCCCTTAGATCTGAAGTCCAGAACGTCAGTCCAGGCCTTCTCCAGGGTGTCTGTGATTCCCATGCAGTTCATATGCATAAAGAAGCAGAGGTGACTGTGAAACTAAAAAGATTTTGAGTGAGGGAGGTTATTTGAGAGTACAACAGAAACCTGGACTTCTGTCCTGTAGCAACTGCTGTCAAAGTAACAAGAATCACTGCCTCCTGTGACACTCAGCACATCAACGTCACTGGATCCAGTGCTTTCACACTACTATGCTGCTAGCAAGTACTTGTCTTTTGGTTTTTTCCCTTTTTTTTTTGTTTTGTTTCCAGTCTCTAACATTTCCTGTCCCTTCCACAGACAACAGAACAAGACATTGCAGAAAACCTACAACTGCATCAGGACTTGCCTGACATAAATCTCTATGTAAAACAATTTTCTCTTCTCTTGATTCCCCCAGACTGCATTCCCAAGCACAGGCACGGACTGTTTTCAGGGAAGACTGAGTTTCCTTTGCAAGGACACAGCACTGAGCATACCTTTGCTTTTGACTCTGGGACCAAAGTGAAGCAGAAGAACATTCATGTCTAAGCAGTGAGAAAGCTCAAAGCACCTGCTTGTCCCGAGGTGCCTTGAGGGCTGAGACTCTCTGAGTATGAGAAAGGAGAAGCAGCAACTGGAAGCAGCAGGCTCCATTGCAGTTCTGGCTATTGCTGTGGGAAAGGAAGCTGGAAAGAGAGGAACTCCCTTGTGATGAGTTTGTTCTGGCTCCTACCATCAGCAGCACGAGTGGGAACAAGGGAGACTCCCATGTAATGAACCTTCTCCAGTTGCCAATGGTCAGCAAAGGAGCTTGGAACGAGTGACCTCCCTGTGCAACGAGGCAACACTACCTCCTGATGAGGAAGGGCAGGAGATGCCTTCTAGAATGAGTGAGAACCTGCCAGGAGGATATAATAAAACAGGGCATTTCCCTGCCAGAACAACAGAGCATAGAGGAGCTCTCATTAAATCATCAGAGCAGGGCACACTGCCAAACTGCCCACAGTCCTTTCAGAAACCAGGCCACAACTTGCAGGCCATCCCAGAAATATGACTTCTCTGAGAGATGTGGCTCCATCCTGTTTCTTTCTGCCCAGCCCCGTCTGCATGTCCGTCAGGACACAGTACCTGCAGTGAAAATCTGTGCAGCTACGGCCAGGAAGGCATCTGTCACCACGGTCTCAGAGTGCAGCGAGATGTTCAATTGGCGGGCGATATTCCGGTAGACGTTGGGGCGGATGTATTCCAGCTCATCCCCTGGAAACAAACAGTCAGGAGTCAGCACGAAGAACACCAAGTCTTGCTCTCATTGTGTAGGAATTACACCTGGGACCACCCCTTCAGCCAAAGAGACTTAACCCCTTTTAAACAGGCAGCAGAGTGCTTAGGGTCATTTAGAGGCTGCCACCTGCACTCTGCTTTCCTAATATCGCCTGTGCCTGGGACTTCTAAAGGGAGTGGGGACAGGCAGTGGCCCTGTACCAGTGGTGTGGCTGCAGTAATCCTCGCTATAAGTGATGTTCCCAGGCTGGATGCCTGTCTTTCCTCCAACACAGGAGACAGACCTCAGATAAGCAGAGCCACCTCATTTTTCTTCAGAAGTGAAAAGGAGGCATGTACATCTACGTAAGCTTTTGAGAGATATGCCTTTCTCAACACCCCATCAGACTTGCACGAAAAAGCCTCAAGAATGCTGGAGGCTGATGAAAGCCAAGGATCCACCCAGAGCTGCACAACATTAATTGAGCAAAGAGGCTATCAGCTCAGCTATTTTACGCTCTCACAGGCACTGAGTGACGATCTGGCATTCTTTCTCTCCTCCAAATGGTTATAGAGATGTTCACTTGCTTGGCTGACTCCTCAGCAATAAGGTTCCCAACACACACATAGACCACCCATGCTTTAAGCTCCAGGTTGTTTTCTCCCCAGCTGGGAAGTGGTTGGAGGTGTTAGGCTAGCTCGAAGACCAAGATGGAAAAACCAAGGACAAGCAGAGAATATCTTCCCACAGGTTTGCGCTATGGAGCTTGGGCAACAGCAGTAAAGCTTTTCCTCTGAGCAAAACAAACCATTTTTGAGCAGCAGAATTAAGAAAGCCCAGTTTCCAATGGATTTATCTCTCTACAGGGGTTCAAAAATGCTTAATAAGGGTTGCACAGCTGCTGTAGGAGCATCACACAATGCAAACATTGCATGGGACCAAGGCCCTTTGTGCATGGACGGTCCTATTTGGTTTAGATTTAGAAGGACACCCTGTGTCCTTCTCCTGCACAAGGGTGCTCTGAAGCACCCAGGGGAAGAGGAGAGCTGTTACAACAGCTTTACATCCCACTGCAAGACTCAGATGACTTGCCCTAGTCTGAGGGTAACTGATCCTCCTGAAAACTCCATTTAGATAGGGACTGAAAAGGAAGATGACACCCCGGTCTGGAGCTTGTTATAGAGTCATTAGCTAAAGGAACATAGTTCATCTAACTGGGCACTGGCATTCAGCACGGTACGGGCAAAGCCCAGCTCTACAGAATTCCAGAGGAGCTCTCCGAGCCATTTGTGTGTGGGATTGTCCCACACAATTTGATGGCAAGAGGAAACCCTGCCAACACATGGTCAGCCCTGATAAGAGGAAACTTTACTTGCACCACTCAACAGCTGTTTTCTCCTCACAGGGAGCACACAGGCTTTCCTGTAAATGCAAGGAAATGGGGATAGCCCTGCCTGTGGTTAGCCGAGAGGGAGGCATGGGAGGCTGGGATCAGCACTTGGTAGCCTGCCACTGTTACAGCTTTTAACAAGCAGCGCCTGGAGGGCCCAGATGAGATCAGGTTTTGGTTGGAGGCACACATGCTGCTAAAGTGGGCCCTGCCCTGCACAGGGCCGACAAAAGCGGGCAGCGGAAGAAAAACACAGGAAAGCAGTCCCAGGCTCAGGGAGACTCCCTGCCCTGGCAGCCCCAGGACCCCTCCAGCAGCACGTTACATTTGGTGGCACAAAAGAAGTCTTCTATGTCCATGTTCAGATGCCCGGCTGTGAACTTTGCAACATTTAGAGCAATTTCTGTGCTTCTCCTCCTTCCTCCAGTAATCCTGGAGGAACAAGGGCAGCAGTGACAGTTCACACATGCAGAAGCTCAGTGCAGAGGTGAAAGGGCACTTGCCTGAGCCTTGGCCACAGAAGAGACAAATTCAGATAAACCAGAACTCTGACACTCATGGCAGGTTGGTCTGGGGTGCCTCATTGGGCCATACCATTAGGTTTTGCCACCTCTGACTCATTAATTGCACTAATTAGCTGTTAAGCCTCACTGAGCTGACGGGCTTTTGCTCTCCAAGACTGCAACTGCATGGCCTGTGCCCAGCACCTCTGCTGGCCCACCAGCCAGTTCGTCAGACTCTCTGTGTGCAAGAGGGCTAGGAAATACTCCAACTTCTCATCTCCACAGGCTTCTCAGCACTATCACCAAGAAAAAAACTGGCCTGGCTTGTTGCACTGCTTAGTAAGCAGCTAAGGACTACCATTCCTGGCAGGTGGCTGGATACCACTCGGCCTTATACTGCTTATAGCAGTGAAGGGGGAAAAGAAAGGGACAGGCCATGTGGCAAGCCTGAACAAACAGGATGGAAACAACTCTTCATCCTAATAAGGACAACTGCTCACCCTTCTTGTTGCATGAGTACCACATGGCGCTCTCCAAACAGATTTACTCAGAGAATGCGCCAAGTTCCTGGGACCACCAGCCAAATCTTCCCATCTGGACATGGATAAGTAACAGGAAAGCCATCCAGGGGACGCCTTCAGATCCAGTCTGCCACCTGCTTGCCCTTTAACATGCTGCTGGCCACCCACAGAAGATCTGGTTGAAAGCAAACAAATCTCAACCCCCAACCCAGGCAGAGAAGAAATGAAGGACAAAGAGACAGTGAGATTGACAGAAGAACAAAAAATAACCAAGGACCAAACAACCACTGGAACCACAAATAGAACTCAGCATAGGAAAGAAAAAGTGAATAAGAATGAATGAAAAAAAAAAAAAGTCAGTTAAAAGAAACACAGCTATGTATTAAAAAGAAATTTGGAGTAGTATCAAACGGAAGTAGAAAGAAAGGGAGAAAGTGGGGAGATCAGCCTGGTTCTGAGTTTGGTAGGCCCAGCTGAAGGTTACTTCACCAGATTTATTTGAACTTTGGTGTAATTAAATCAGATGTAAATACTAGTGGTAGTTTCCAAGCCAGACACTAATATATACCAGTCTGCAAACAAAGAGGGATGTCGGAAGCAACTTCCAAGAATGAGGGTGTCGTGATCCCAAAAGACAAACGGCTAGACCCAAGCACTCAGAAGTCTAAAACCTAATGCAAAAGGCCAGGCAACTGTCAACTCCAAAGCATGTCTTCATGTAGCAGCCTACAGGCATAACCTTCAAATTGCTCTCCCTGCAGCCCCGGCAGTCACCTAGCCATGGCGGAGGGTGGCTAGTTTGGGCATGGAATGGCAGTGTGTGCCAGGCAACATCAGCCAGCTTCTCCTTGCTCCAACAAAAAGCAAGAAAACTCTTGTCTTGCTGAACGATTAAGGTAATCAAAGGAAAATTAAACACACTCTCAACACACTGTCATTAAAAAGCGGCTTTTATAAAATCTCCAACATACATGGTCTAAGCAGCTCCCCCAAAATTAAATGTCCTTGCATCTGAGCAAGCAACTGATGAAGCCCAAGTCTAGAGGCAGCAGTACTCTACTAGATGGCAGCTTGGGTTGCATCACAGCATGGAAGTCACCTGCATCTGAAGAAAACACTGCAAGACCTGTTAAAATGCCAAGCTGAGAAAGACTACTGAAACTACTGCAAAAACTGCTACACAGCTGGAGCCTTACGCAGACAAAATGAGTCTGTTGTTGGGCTTTCTTGAACTGAATCATGCTTTTCAGTTGTTGAAAGTCCTCAGAAAAAAGTCGCTCCACAGAAACACTGTGCTAAGCAGTGCTCCAAGGGGCTGAGGAAGTAAAGGAGCTGTTTAGGGAAGATCACCAAAACCAAATCTAAGTGCTCAAAGTAGAGAAGAAAAACGTCTGTGTCATCACCTGAAAAGCCTCTTGGCACTCATCACTTCCAGAAACCTTAGTCTGGTCTGAATTGCTCCACACAGTGTTTCAATTCCCACCCACTCCCACGGGGACTTACCTAGTCGCAGCAGTATGGTGGATACCTCGGCCAGCTTACCACCAGGCACCGGTACATTGTACTCAGGTTTGCTCCAGCTGACACCCGCTCGAATTAGCCTCGAATTTATGTAGTCTCTGCAGAGAGCCTTGGCTTGGGACACAAGCTCCTTGTCAGTGGGAGACCTGTCAAAAACCTCCATCACCTCTGCAGCAAAGACAGAGGAACGACGTAGCACTTCCATCCTTGGGTGCTGAACCCACAGCTCAGCACACACTTTCTGGCAGGCTGACCCGATGCCTTCAGTGAGAATCTGCAGGAGCTGTGTAGTAATCCCCTGGTCTCTTGGTTCGTCACATCTCCCAGCAGCTGTTCTCAAAAGGCCAGTTTTTCATTTTACCTGGTGAATAAAAGCATCTGTAAGTCCTCTAGCATTGCAAAGAAGAAATCAGAAGCCCAAGTATTATACCTTACAGTTACGCTAAAGTCAGTAGTATCATATTTGCAAAACATCTGTCTCGGTACATCTCACAGGCAAGGGGCAAAGTCTTCCGTCTTTCAGCCACTCTGACTTTCACTGGCAGCATGACCCACAGAAGGGCTGCAGTTTTGAACTATCAAGGTGTTTCCTCTCTTCCAGTTCAGATTCAACAGTCCTAGAATTACCCTTCAGAGAGACTAGATGGTCAGAGCATGGAAACAATTCATTGAATGTGTAGACAATATCAGCTTGTTTCAGTTAAACTGGAAAAATCCCTGAATCCCAAATACCTACAATAACCTCAACCAGATGCCAACAGGCATTCCAGCTCCGTAGGTCATGGATCTTTCTGAAGAAATATCACTATTACAAAAACAGAGGTACAGGACCATCTGAAATGTCTCGATGGAGACAGTTTACCAGTTCTCAGTTTAGGTTGTGGTTCTGCCACTCTTTTTTTTTTTTTTTTTTCCCCCCAAAGCGAAGTGCATACTACTTCTCCAAAAACTTTAGCAATAGCAGAGAGAGCAAAACAGAAAAGCAGAGTTTTAGAAAGTTTTCAGGTGTGAATGCCTAAAGAGAAAATTCAAAATTTCTTCAGATGCCCCTGAATTCATCTGTTGATCTGACTTTTCAACCCAGTGCTGCTCTTGAAGTCAGAGCCAGACCAGTCTTTATTCAGAGAGTAGTAAATGTATTTTTCAGTCCCCAGTTTTAGACATCTACTTACAACAATGATTTCCAATCAAAATAAAGCCAGTTATTTTTGTTTGTCCCAATGAAAAATATATTTACCTTTCATGTTGCACTTTCCCCCCCTCAGTGATTTCTTTTTGGGGTTGCTTTCGTGTTTCTTTGGAGAAGCTGCATCAATGAGCATCTGGTTTAGGATTTGCAGGATACTGTCACACTTCTCTGAAGCGCACCAGCCTTCCCTGCCGTGCTTTCCCTAGTACCTCCTGCCCCATCTGTCAGCCCCGATCCCGGCTGCGCTCCACCGGGAACCTCGGGGCTTGCTCTGCCGCTTTTAAGGGACCCAGGCAGCAGAGGAAAGCTTCTAGCTTTAGCCTTGTAAGGAAGATGAAATAACCGGGAGGTGGGGTTGCTATAGCCAGAGAGCAACGCTTTCTCCTCCCCTTTCTTCTCTCTTAAGGAGGTTCTCTGGGGTTGTACTGAGAGCGCACATTCAAGGACTCGTCTTTTTCGGGGTGAGGGTCAAAGCATCATTTCTGGACCAGGTTACCCCACATAACAGCCAGTAATGAAGGCGCTGCTGAAATAGGAACAGCTCCTGGTGAATTCCTGCAGCTGCTTTTGCAGAGTTGATGTTGGCCAGTCATTTTCAGATGGTAGCCAAGTCAGGGAACTGCGGGTTGTCATACTTCAGTGGTGGGCTAGTCATACCTGTTCAGTCGAAACGATGGAGGTGATTAACAAAGAGAGCTATAGCTCGGGGCTAAAGCAAGTGGTGCTTGCATTCCCCCAAACTACGAGTAGTCTTGTTAAAATTAATGAAGTGGGCTTGCTGACAGGAACTAATCCATCCAGAATGAAGTGTTTTGCAGGAATATGTCTCTTTAATCTCTGTTAAGTCTGTTAAAAAACCCTAACATATAAAGTTTAAGGAAAACATTTCAGTTGGTTCCAACATACTTAGAAATTAATGTCAACATCATCTTCTTGTTGCAACATTATTGTGTTGATGCCAACTTCAGTTCCATGTGTGTGTGATACCATTTCAACTCGACAGACCACACGCAAATGTTGGCTTTTTGTGTTACAATTTGAAACAAAAGAAGTTTTAGAAATAGGATTTTCCAGCAGAAAAGAAATTCTACCAGCTCAAACACAAATTCTCCCCAACAAAAACCAATTTGTAGATTATTGACTGGGTACGTGGCATGTTCAGAATACAGTCTTTCCAAATGGAGGTCAGAAGCAAGAAATAACTGTTGTCATCTCTCGCATGTCACCTTTGAGAAAAGACAGAAGCAAGTACAGCTCTCCAAGGTGTTGATCACAAAACAAAATCCAAGCACAACCTGCACCACTGCCAATTAAGGAATAAAAAGGAACAAACGAACTGCATGAAAAAGCCTTATTATATGACGGATGTATCGAATACTCTGGCCAGCATCCAACACGCAACTCACTCACAGGCTTAACACAAAGCATATGTTTTGGTCTGCCATCAACTAGATTGCTGGAGACTACTTTGCTGGAAGGGGGCTGCAGCAAAGCCTCTTCTCCCTCCCTCTCAGGCCTGGCTTCTTCTGAGACAGAAACAGGGTTAAAGAGAGGTACGTGTGCAGTAGTCAGCTGGGTACCCTGGCTTAGCTTGATATGGTCACGTTACAATGGCAATAGTGACTGTGCATCTCCAGCACCAGGAGTATTTGCTCAGAGATTCTCTCAGAAACTTGTTTTTATCCACTAGCCTTCCTCAAATTTAAATATAGTCGCTACAGACACAGGCCTGTCCCATAGAAGCTGAAATCAAGACTCCAGAGATCCTGTGCTCCTGCCCATCCCTAACCCATCACTTCTCTGCAGAGTGCACTTGATGGTCTCTTGGAAAATCATATTTTTGCCTTTGCAACTCTGATGGCTGAAAAATCATTAAAAACTATGTCTTAGCTTCCTACAGCAGCTGACAGCTTGGAACAGTAATCCTATTTAAACTGTCCCTATTCAGCAGGGCTCTGAAACAAAAATAAATGCTTAAATATCAGTATTGCTTAACTAATGATAATGTTTCCCAGAATTCTGGCACATATGCCACAGTGCCTCCCAGCAATCTGTGGGTGCCAAACCCATCCCACATGTTCCCTGCCCGACCGCCACAGCATGCAGCAGCCCCTCAACTTCCACCCTGCAGCAAAGGCACAAAAACTAGAAACATGAAGGCTGTGTATAATAAACCAAGATTTGTATAAAAAGCCCAACAGTGCACACTATGCTACCTATAGAATTTATGCACTAAAAACAGAGCTTCACACTGAAAGATAACTCTGAAAGTAAATATAGATGAAACCACAGCATACAGCATTCAGCTGACCACCAAAGAACAGGGCACTACAACCCAAGGAGCTGTCAGTGTGATCTAGGTCCCTTTTTCCATAGAATGTTTAGGCTACAACACTTAGAGGCTAAATCTATACTGGAAAAGCCCTTGTGGCAAAGAAGTATCAGGAAACAGTGCAGAAACAGTTTATATCACCCAAAACCACTATTCCCAGTGGAGCTATTACTGGCATGACAGTGTTCTGGCTAGAACAACAGGATCCACACCACAGCTCCTGTCTATCTCAGACGGAGTGATTAAACCAGCTTGGAGCACTCATTTAATAAAACCAGGGGACCACAGAGATATGACTGCATTTTATAAGTATATCAAGCGGAAACAAATCCTGGAGAAACCACATCAACAAGAACACAGCAATAGTCTAAATGTGGACAGCTTATGCTCAATATTAAATAGTTTAACCATTAGAGAAGTAAGTCTCTGGAAGGGCCTTTAAACAGTTGCAAAATAGCTAGCTAATTGTGAGCACACCCAGCTTATGAAGGGGTCTGCATGCTACGGTTTCCTGCAGTAGCGCAAGACCAGCCCTGAGTGCCCCAGGAGGTCACTTCCAGCCTCGTGTTCACACAGCCTGCTTTCCATCGGAGGCATTGTTTTGTTTCACCTCACAATGCCAACCCCAGCCACTTCACACAGCCTACGACAACTCCAGCAATACACACTGTGACACAGATCCAACATTCTAAACTACCTGCAGAGTAAGAACTCGGAGAAGCAGAGGGATGCCAGAGACAAGAGAGTTCATAGCCAGAGTGCCTGGGAAACAAGCCCTGCCTGCTACAGAAGGTTGCCCTTCAGAAAGAAGATGCTCTGGCAAGACACTGGCACAGTACCCAGACCAAAGCCTTCTACCAAACCATCCCTGAATGTTCTTCTGCATTATCTCACCCAGTTTTAACATACTGTCTTCTCCCCATTGCCTCTTCCTCTCTGATTTTTGCAGCAATACTGCAATTCTGTGTTTGTGAAGTTACCACTGCAGTTACACCTATGATGTCAGGCTTTGGGTTCCAGAGCCATACGGGGGTAACAGGGAGGCTAGAAGAAACACTTCTTTTTATACAGAAATGTTTTGCCAGCTGCAACAGGAAAACAATACATGGAAGTAGCAGCTTAATGGGACTGAAGGAAAACACTGAGGCTTTTTGAACCTTTCTCTTGTTTCTGAAGGGCTTGATTAAAAGCCCCCTGAAAGCCAAGCAGTTATTTGTATTACTTGCAGGATGGGATCACCCTGGAGCACCTTTCCTGGAGCAGGATTTTGCCGTGCCAAGAGTCACGCACCAGACCAAAGAGGCCATGTTACAGTGAATGTCTCTTCCACAGCCTTTAAACTGTTCTCCTTCATGAGGATACTAGTCTAGTGACTTAAGCGCATCAAGGTTAGCAACCAACCCATGACTTAGGTTTCTGACATAAATTATCACTGATACCCAATGTTTTCTTCTCTTAACCCACTGCCAGGCTCACAACCACTGTTTGTAGACACAACTTCCTTGCTATATGTATGTTTTGACAAAGCCAGAACAAAGATACAGTGTTCTCCAGAACTGATGTACAAACGCACTGAAGGGGAAACTGCAGCATGCCATGCTGTGAATCGAGTCATAAAACCTCTACTTGTATTCCTGAATCTTACTGCAGAAATGCTGCCTGAGAAAAGCAGGCAACTACTCAGGTAGGTACTGAGCAGATACTACTTTGGTATCAAGCCAGCACCTTCCCACTGTAAAGCAGCAGCTTCTAGCTAAATCTAGGACTTTGATGAGGCTGCATCATCACCTTAAGAACCTAATTAGATCTAACAGTAGATATAATAGCTTCAGTTGTTTCCTATCTTCTAATTTGCTTCAAAATGACACATTTTACTGAACAGATCATCTCATAAGCCAAGAAGGTGGCAGTCACACAGAAGAAATAAGAAGTTTTAAGTTGTTCAACAGCTATAGCTTTGTTTTGAAACACAGATAGAATATTCACTTATCGTACCACCAAAATAGAAAAGGCAGAAAACACCTAATGAGGACACTAACCCCAAGAGAGCAAACAGGGCTCTTCCTTTTCAAGCTCTAACCCACAAAGGTGGAGGACAAACCTTTGTCTCATTCTAGCTATTGATCACCCACAAGGTTTAGGAATCAGTTCCATGCAGGTTAGGTGCATGTGGACAGGCAAGTGCCTCTGCCTGCAACAAACCTGAAATCTCCAGAGTCTGAAGTGGGTGCAGGCACTTCTGCACTGGCTCAGCAGCATTTATGAGCTCTGATGCATTTATCTGCTGCTTCAAGACATGCACTGGGGCATGGACATGTCCTACACAGGCAAATGGATTGCTGGATCTGATAACCACAAGGCAGCAGTTTTCCCTGCACAGATCTTCATGCCCTAAACAGGCTCTGAGGCGTTTGGACTCAAATTTTGCATACCCAGAATGTAGCCCTACTTTAATGATATCCTTACCGACTTTCAGAAAGGCTCTTCAGTCTCAGCTGTGCTGGGCAGGGAAGCAACTACGCTTTTAAAAAACCCTGTATTTTCAAGTTGTCAGGCAAGGAGGGTAGGCTGATGTCTCTAGTCTGCACAGATCAAATTTGGAGCGCGTGATTCCTTCGTATGCAGTTATTTATGCCACGCAGCATTTTGGCCATTAGGACGCAATTCCACCCTGACTGCCAGCAAAGCATTTCTACGCACTCAATACACCCCAAGAGTTTGTGGAGCTCCATGTTGACAAAAAATTTCTTCAAGACTGCTTTGGTTAACAAGATTTACCCTTCTGACTCTGTGTGACAGTATCGGGCTGTTTTTTTCAGCAAGCAGGGTCAGCTA